TCTTTATCACAGCTGTGCGCCTCATAGGGCGCATTCTTCCCAGCCACGGGGGGCCCCCCCCCTCGGCTGACCCCTCCCTTTAATTGAAAGAATCAATTAGTTCACTGAACCTTTCAATTTTGAGCCTCACTATATTTCGTAAACAACAACTTCCGCTGAGCTCCTTCTGAGCTCGCTTTCGTGATCACAAGTAACCTGGTTGCAGGATGTTGTTGGACCATAGAATGCTTTTGATGCGTGTGTCGTTGTTGTTGTTGTTGTTGCTGTTGTTGTTGGTAGAAACAAAAACAGCCGCCCAACATAATTGTCACATGTTGTAACTTTGGAACTTCAAGGGGACAAGGTTAGGGATACGGTTGAAGGTTTGAGCGAATGTTGGTTTCGTAAGTAGGTGGACTTGTTGGACTTGTTTCCCTGAAGTCTGGGCTGGTCCATTTTTAGTGTTTTTGAGGTGTTGTTCTGGAGGGGGGGGGCTCCAAAAAACAACACCGGGGCCGCAGTCTTTGTCTCTAGGATGTGGTAGAGGTTCTAAGTAGAAGTTTTACAGAGCTGACCGGTTATAATATCACTACTACTACTACTACTACTACTACTACTACTACTACTACCACTAGTACTCGGACTAGTACAAGCACTACCACTACTGGTAAAAGTACTTGTTGGCTGGTTGTTTTCGGGGGGGTCAAAAAAACAACGACGGGGATGGAGATGTTGTTTCCACCCCCTTGTAGAGAACAAGATATGTTGTAACGGGGCTGCATTTTTTGTGTGTACCGTACCTTGTTTTGTTGTTGTTGTGGTTGTGGTTGTGGTTGCTGTTGTGGTGGTGGTCGTGGTGGTGGTGGTGATTGTGTTTTGGTTAAAAAAAACATAGTAACTGTCCAAACGCCGGCTGATCAATCCTCTGATGCAAGGCAACAACACCATTCACTTTGGAGCTACCAGTATCTGCATACAATACATATAGTTGTCAACCAGCAGCTCCAAAATGGCTGGCTGGAACATCTTTGGAAGGGATCTACCTGGAACCGTAGCTGGATTTCACTCGGAATGGAACTTCAACTACGAGTCCAGGGTTATTTGGGAGCCACTATTGGAGACGCTGATGAGTTTGAATTTGTACCTGTGAATGCATCGAAGACAGCTTGGTGCTGTAAACTACTGTGGTTCTTTTTGGGCGGCAACACTGCAAAGTCCTGAAACTCTATTCCAAGCAACCTCTGTGATAGAGGGACTGAAACCCGCCGTCACTTTGGGATTCATGTTGTTCACCTTTGCGGGTGTCAAAACTTGTTGCTCAAGCTTATGCCATCACATAGATTGGGGAGGCTCACCGCTTCCCTCAGTTTTGAACAACTTTGGACTTCAACTTGGAAGGGAGGCATCCCTTTACTTGTAGTTATGTAGTAAAGGTGGGTTTCAACCAAACAAGTGTATGTATGAACACGAGCACTCAGAGGAGACAAACAAGCAAACTTCGCTCGAGTCAAAGGCAGCAAAGCTCAGCTGACACTGAGAAGAGCTTTGCAAGCAGCTAAGAGCATTCACCAAGCTGTTACCGAAACATCTTTGTTGGTTGCAACACACCCTATGCTTTGTTGTGGGCAGGCGTGATGGAAAGCGGTACTTCGCAAGGACATCGAAAACAAGGGTCATCGCGGCATCGGTCGTTGTGTAGGCTTCAGCCAGGCATCCCCGAGGTTTGGCCCCACAGATGAAAAGGACATGCTCCCTGTTACGTTCGTAGCGTCCTCTTGTTCCGATCGTAGTTTCAGGCCAGGAGCGCCCCGGAGCTACGTTCGCGTCCCGTCCGATCGCTCCGGACTCGAGTCGCGATACCCTTTGTATGTGACGTTCGTAGCGTCCTGGCCGCTGCAAAGTAAAGAAGCTCTTAACATGCAAAACCATCCCTGCCACGAGAACATGTGGAATTCAATTTAAAGACGCTCTTTAAAGAAATAAAAGAACACAAACACACACACGTCAAACAAATACACACTTGGACAGTGTTCATCCTTTATGTTTTGGTAGGGCATCGCTTTTTGGGGGCACCATCGCTTCCCCTGACGGTTTGCAAATTCGCAAAGATTGAAGGCAGCGAAAACATCTTCTGCTCTATGACATACCCTGGTCTTTGACGGTTGCTCACCTGCTTGAAAACCTCCAACTGCTCCAGCGCGGTTGGACGAATCAAAGGCCACAGAATCGATCGATGTTCAAAAACACTGGTCGATCCAGCATGTGCGAGATCATATGTAAGGATCATGGTTCAAACCAGCTCAGCCACTACGTCGATTTGGGAGATATAACCAAAAGAAATGGGACATTGAAGGACATAGTAAAGAATCTTCTAAACACCCTCAAAAACAGTGTCGAACTTTGTACATTTAATTACTGTTGTAGGTTGATATGCCCCGAAGAATGCTCGCCTCTCAAAGGGCGCGGCGACCGTGGCACCAGGTTCCAGCGGCAACGGCTCAGGCGCCTGAGGCGATTCAGGGGGCATTGAGTGGAGGAGCTCCCAAAAGAAACAGAATTTGATACACCACCAAATGTCCGGTTCCGTACCCGGGCAAAGGTTTCAGGTTTGGGTGACGGACTCGTGCATTGTGTTGGTACAGGAACATCCTCGTCCGCCTCTGGCAATTTTTGGGTTGGAAGCGGGTATAAATGATTTCATACAAGCCATGAAGGTTGCGGATATATAATATATATATATACTTGGCAAACTGTGAAGCGACTTGTGCTTGCATCAAGAATCAAGTCCCACAATCGTGTGACGTCTCGATGTCCATCAAGTTAGAAGAGAATCTTGATACGGCGCAGATCAGTGCAGACGCGGATTCATTACCTGCATGCAGTGAGAATCAGAGTAAAGGATATGGGCAAGGGGCTGAATTGCAAATGCGACATGGAAAAGAGGGTGCTGCGATGTTCTCTGGAAAACTAAACAAACAATGTTCGAACAAAATAAAAAGTAAAGCGTAGTTATGGTATGTATAGGAATATGTCAACAGGCCCGTGCCTGTAATGACTGAACATACGTTGGCTGATGCGAAGTTAGCTTGTTGCTCCGGTAGGAAGCCACTGGCTAAGCCGAAACCAGCTCAAGGTTCAAAAGTTTACTGTAATTATTTATGTATATTTATGTTACATTCCTTGAAAAAAATCGCTTAAGTGGAAAACCACCTGTTTGTAGAGGACATTTATTATCCCTAGGGGTCATGCCATCCACGTTGGCCCATGATTCTTCCAGGGAGTGTACATGGTTCTTCCAGGGGTGTTGATCAAAAGCCACAGGCAGCCAGGTGTCCAGCTGGAAAAACCAGTCGTATGGTACTCTGGTACACCACTGTCCCCGCCATGTGTGGGCAACATGCTTCGCTTTTTCAGAGGGCACGACCCGCCAGTGAGTCGCAAGTGGTTGCCATGAGCGATTGGTCCGCTTGCCCCACTTAGGATTACACTCTCACTCGCTAACATGGTCATGGATGGCACCCCCTGTTCATAGAGCAAAATGGTCTTCCCGGGGCTTGTGCCATCCACTTCCATGTGAGTGGGTCAGAGTGTAACGTCCTTTTTACTCCCTTCGGTCATCAAAGGTCTTCTTCACTTCCTCGACGGCCGTTTTCAAGCGTGGGGAGAGTTCGGAAGTCTTGGCAGCCTTTTGCGTGCTTTGCCTACACCCTCAACAACACCTGGACCTCTAGGGACTGCAAGCGGTTTGTAGAGGAAACATGGAAACATATGCAAACTAATTGCAAACAACTAACATGAATCATTGCCCCAAAGACATTGCTTCGCAAAGAGTCTCAGGCCAGGCCAATTGGCCGAACCCCGAGGAACCCCGAATCCGGAACTCCACCGGGCACCTGATACCTCGCATACGCGGCTCGTGCGCTGGCTGGGGCATTCGGATCTGGTGCCTGGCGAGCAGAAATGACGAGGAATGTGACACCAGCAATCCAATCCACACTGCAAAGATCGTTGTCTGGAGCGGGACAAAGATGGGCCAAGTGCACCATGCATGTTGGACCTGACGGGTTTCTCCAACATGTATTGAGGGGGTGCACTGCGGTCTCAAGGTGTCAAGGCTTCACCGCCCATTGAAACATGTTTGAAGTGGTGCAAGCTCTTGAATTCAAACACTGAGCACCATGACCTCCCTAGCAAGCTGAGCCAGGCAAAGGTCACTTGATGGAGGAAAGATCAGTTTAATCACGAAGTTCTTCTGGCACGCGTCGCTATCATAATCTGATAATCTTCCAATTCTGGTAACCTGGCTTCGATTTCGGGTCCAGGTGAACCTCTCCAACCCTTGCAGTCCATCTCGGGCTGATCTTTCTTTGCCCCTTTTTCAAATCACGGGAGCTTCAAGCATGCAGGGTGGTTTATCTTTTTGGCTTGCCAGAAAAAAAAGAAGCAAGCAAGCAATGAAAAAAGATACATTTTGATCTGCTCTTCCACAGGCGTCTGCTGCCACTGTCAGGCTGTGTCACAACTAACCTCGGGAAACAAACTCTATGTAATTATACCATAGTTGATGAAGACACCACCGAAGATAGATACAGTACTTCCGCAGTATTTACACATCAAGAACTCACTGCCTGATCCAAGAGTATCTGAACCTCTTCTCTCCTGGATCCGGCGAAGTCCGTCGTTGAAGGTTTTCAGGCAAATGATTTTCCTCTGGGGTCAATTGTCGAGGTTCCGTGTTAGTTTTCAGACATGTGCAGAACGTACTCTTTCAGTCTTTCAGACTGTTTCTTTGCCAACCGTGCCCGACCTGCGCGAGGCAAACGTTGTGCAATATATAGTATTCTATTGGCGGGGGCAGAAAGGCTCGTTGACCTGAAACAGGTTGAAAGCGCTTATATAAACTTGGCTATATTGTTGTTCTACTGATCAAACAAACATGGTATACAAATCGTCCTGACTTGCCTCCATGGTATTGTAATGAGTAAAACATGGTGAATCCCCCTTCTCAGAATTTGTGAATTTTGCTGTAATCCTTTGTATATCCCAGACAATCCGCGAACGCCATAGCAGGGACACGGATCCAGCAGGGGTCCAGACACCCGAACCACCCCCCTTCCATTTGAGGATATACGACGAACATCACATGGAAGTTGGAAAACGACTTTCCTCTAGATGTCCACTTCCATGTTAGTGAGTCAGGGATATTCAGGGTGTAGATGTATAGTGGATGGAGAGTAGATGGCACAACCCCCAAGTTTGGTGGTTTGTATGGACCTGTATATCAAAAACCTGGGGTGTCAGTTCCATCAAGCCTCTGAAACCGTGTTGCTGCATTGCCAAATTGCTTGGAACCTGTGCGCTCCTGGGCGCTGGGAAGAAGGTCAGCACCGCCTGTCGCTCCTGGAGCTCCGGCGGGTTTCGGCCGATGCTCGACTGACACGTCCGATCGCTCCGTTCGAGTCGCGATGCCCGACATGTTCGGTTCGTAGCGAACCTTGTTACTAGTAGTCAAGCCACTTCTTGTTACTTGGAGAAGATCATACGATTTACTAGGCTGACTGGGTTTTATTCATGGTCTGCTGTAAGGGATGAAGGAAGAAACTTCCTGAAAAACGTGTTGGCAGCTATTTGGCGATCAGTGTTCTCTACAGGGAACGTGTACTTACAACTTACAACCGTTAGAACATGTCAGAGCATCATATTGTGCTGAGCAAGTGAGTCCTCTGCTCCATCAGATTAGCTTATGTTAGCTTCAAGGAACCCCCTACAGAAGTTCTTAGCGTGAGAAACGGCAATCAGCTAGCTCCTCATGAAGAAACCACTCAAAAAAATGACCAACACATCATGGAAAAGCAATAAGCTAGTCAGCTAGTGTAGCAAATATGATCTAATTGCCAAACTCCTTGCATATGCCTGCCTTTCAGCCTAATATAATATACTGTATGTGCATCGTATGATTTTGGTTACTGCAAGTGGGAGGTGAGCTAGGGTGTGGTCCGAGGGTAGCCCGGAAAGAAACCCACCTCATCTCAGCAGAGACACCAGCCAACATACTGTGTTAGTCGGTCTTGTTTGGTTGACCACAGATGGGTGGCCGTGGTCATTGAACTTGGTGCACACTCCAGTTTCAAGGCATGCCATGCTTGTGTGGGGTAAAAGTCAACAAGGGACTTCCGATCAAACATCAGCTTTTCCATGCTTTTCCACTGGTGTCTTCATAAGCTCCTCACCGAGAAAGACGAAAAAAATACACACACAAAATCACACAAACACGCAAAGGTGGGGTAGGTCAGGGAATTCGTGCTGGGTCACCTCGTTTTGGACACCAACCCACCCTGGTTGACCGGGGAGTCTCACCTCCTCGCCCAAGGTCAGCAATTGCCGAGCCTCGGTGGGGTCGAAGCACGAGGGGTGTCCGAGCGCCGAGAGCGCTCGGCGCTCTGACCCGGCGGATGGGTGATATGGTGGAGATGATCTACTTGATATGACATATGTTCTTCATCTTAGATACCATAATGATATGAATTGTATGAAGATTTGCAGTTGCTTTGACATGTTCCCATCTTCTTCCTGAACCCAAGGATGGATGATCGAGAAACATATTTTGGAGCTAAAGTGTTCAGGCTGCAACACTTGTCAAAACACTCGAAGGCTCCCAAACATGTTCAGTTCTCTACTCTGGTGACATTCACTTCCCTTCAACAAACCTGAAAGTCAAAGCCCCCCCGAAGGGAAGCCTTCACAAGGGAAGCCTTCCCAAAAGCATCCCGAAAGGCCAGGACGTCCAAAAACATGTTTGCTGGGGTTTGCCAGCCGGTCAAGGATAGCATGGCTAGGATAGCATGTGACGCTTCCCAAAACACAAGGACGATGCCATAGTTTTTTTCCTGCAGTTGGAGGCCATCGCTCTTAGGTTGGAGGCCATCCATAGTTGTATCATGCAGGGCCGCAAGGATGACCGGATTCACTCCACCCGTCGAACATCTGAGATCTGGGCCACGACGGGATTCGGGAAGGGCACCAATTGCAGGGCCGCCTTCGAAGCCGAAGCTGAAACGTGAGATGGAGTGCATCCTAGGTCATCCAACGGGGGCTATGGATGGTTGATTTTGGCAAGCCAATGTCTTGAACCCTCCAGCTTGTAGCTTGGATACAACCCCAACACACAGAAGGTGTCAATGGATACAATCTTGCACCCCAAATCCGTCTAAATCATGGCATCTCTGGGGGAAAGCATTGCTTGCTTCCAAAACTATATATCAGACTCAGGAGGTAAGATAAGTCAATTGGTAGGCCTTTCTAGTCTCAGATCACTGTAGATAGGACCATGGCTATAGGGTAGCATGGCTGCCGGGTGATGGTGCGTGAAGCGGATGATGGATGTAGATGGGACGATGATGGCAGAGGCGATCACATCCACCCGACCTTCCACCCCACGCGCCTGCGCAGCGACCTGGTCCAAGTCATCCTCACCCTGGCGGCCGCTAGTGAAGGCTGAAGGGTCACCCGAACAAACGGTTTTCTCCGTACATGATCGTAAATGTTTTGTTGGTGGCTGGGATCCAATTACAGTAATCCCTACAGTCTTTTCCTGAACCCCACCCATGTGAACAAAACACATTGGTCCATCACCCAAAATGCTTAATTTGGTCTTGAAATTGCACCCTGGAAAATAGTCTACCATAGATCTTCTGCGTACTGGGGTGCCTGCCCAAAAAGAACAAAGTTCCTCTCCTAAAACTCCGGATTTGCAACCCTCGTTTGGCTTCAGTTCGTCACGCAATTGCAGTATGTTCAGTTCCTTATGATTATGTGTTGCTCCGAAGTTTACAAGCAAAGGACCATAAAAAAGAAGAGGTGCGAACGCCATGAGAAAGGAAGATCCTTCGAATAACAGGTGCGACGGTTCATTCCCAGCGGTTCCCAGGGACTCCGAACGACGCACGACGCGCGTCACGACAGCATGAGGCGTGGGACGGTGTCGGGTAGCTGGGTCGCTTGGTGAAGCGCAAAGGACTCATGCTCTCTCTTGCTACTGTTCTGTCACAGAATGATTTAGTCTCCTTTTTATGAATGTTGTCAAGAACCTGGAAGGGGATAGAAACAACACCTTCAACTACCAAACAGTACTGCTCAGCAAAATGGACTAGTGGAGGAGGAGGTGATCACATATGGCCAAGCGGTCTCTATCAGAAAATCATCGCCTCATTCTCTTTTCGTCCACATAGACATATCTGGCTTTCAGAGTTCAGCGCCAAACATCTCAGGTTTCTTCAGACTCATCAAAGATGCGGTGGCTCCCGTGATTTCCTTAGATGTGCACAGGGAAATCACCCTGTGACACGCGACGTCAACTTTTGGGACATCGCACTTTCGAGGAAGAAGCAAAACTCAAAACAAAGAACACCCAGCAAATCTCAGGTATCGTAGGTATCGCCGCTCTTCATCCCATTCTCCTCCAGTTTCTTGATGAACTCTTGGCAAAAGCGTTCCTTCGCAGCAGCAATCCCATCACTCTTCAGCTTCGCAACCCAGGAGCCAGCCGCTACCATTGCTCCATCACAAGCTTCTTCAGCAGTCCCTAGTGGAAATGGGTAAGACACCTCCAGTTACATGACATCTTGATGAAGAGAACAAAGAAACAATCTGAAAAGCAAACTGCAACAAAATTACAGTATGATCCTTGGTCTTGTAAGGATCAACTCAATCCAAAAATGACTGATCAAGATCAACAAACCGAGTCACTGGCTCTTCATGCTCGAGTACCAGCAAGCCTCGAGTTTCCTCGATCAAGTCTTTCATCAGCTTCTCCTCGGCTAAGGCCAGCGGATTCACAGGCATTTCTTTCGGTTTCTCACCCGCAATCTCTGCATAGGCCTCTCAACGCACACACGAATCGGAGGAGCCAAGCGGAGTTGGGCCGTTTCAGCACCAAACTGCTCATGTACAGAATACATACCTGCCCACTAGTTTACAAATACTATGTGATACTACGCATTTAAAAATATATACAGTATATATTGATTGATACACCTTCCGTCCTCCTGCTAAACACTCAGTCTTCTGACCTCCACATTGTTCCGCAGTCTTCTGTGAGCATTGGTGGGAACAAAGCGATTGAAAAGCAAGTCGCACCTACAGTACGGCCAATTTACCCTGCCTCGACGGCGAGGGTAAAGAAAGGCATCTTCTTCCAAATGGAAATAAATGCATGCCCTCCTGCACGTAACACACGGCCAATCTCCCGCAAAGATTTTGCTTTGTCTGGGACGAACATCAAAACAAAGCTCATGGTGACGGCATCAAAGCTCTTGCTGTGGAAGGAGGATAGATCCTTACAAGGCAGCAAGCATGTCGACTGACCGAACAACCAAGCAACCAACCGACATAAAACCAACCAACGTAACACCAACCAAGCAACAGCAACAAACCAACCCCCAACAAACCAACCACAACTCCAACAGACCACCAAACCAACCAAACCAAACCAAACCAACCAACCAACCAGCCAGCCAGCCAGCCAGCCAGCCAAGCCAGCCACAACCAAGAAACAACCAACACCCAACAACAACAACAACAACAACAAAACTCGCCAGCCAGCCAGCCAGCCAACCAACCAACCAACTAACCAACTAACTAACCAACCACCAACGACCAAAAACAACAAACAACCGCCAACAACAAAAACAAACAGTGCAGTACATTCTATCGTCTAGACTGGAGAAGTGGCTTGAACACAAGTTGAGCGTGATGAGAATTACATCATACATCCCTACAAACAAGTCTTGGGGAGAAATGCAGCTACACGGGTGCGGCATTTCGTGGTATACCGTCTTTCGACTCGAGTGCGCGAGTCCCGGGTCCCACTTCCCAACACAAAGAACTTGAGCATACTAACGATATATATATATATATATATCGTGTATACGAAGTGCAGCACATCCTAAGTCAACACAGTGTTGGGATATATACTAACTTCCCAAAACTAACGATATATATATATATACACACTCCAAAGTTGATCTTGTCTCACCCGTACGGAATCCGGAGCTACAAGACCGAACGACTTAACCCAGGATTTGCGATCAACAGGAACAAATTGCATGTGGTCTTTGGTATTTATTTATATAACAGCAAGAGTAAACACACTGTTTGTCAGTCCAAACATCAACCAAAAGACGCATAGCCCTCAACATCTATCGATACCGCTTGGGGTTTAGTACAATTATAATATAATTGTACCATCCATAGATCACGGTGAACAAATTCCACACTTAGATATTCTTGGGGTCAACGGATGTTATTTTTGTTTTATTTTTTTGTTACATAATACAAAAATCAAAGGACCTAAGATGAGAATGTCATTGCAGTACAACTACTAAAAAGAAAAGAATTGTCAGCCATCCGCTGTATTCCCATCTAGATGAGGATCATCCGCGGAGTGCACGCTGAAGTCAAGGTTCTTGACCCCTTCTGCTCGCTTTTTGGCCTTTTCAACCATCGCCTCCTAACGAAGGTACATGTTTCAGAGGCCGGTGGCTATAACTAGAACCAAGGATCTATCTGGAAAAAGTGCATACTTGGGGTAGTTGGCAGTTGGCACTCAAAATTCAAAGTTTCCTAATGTCTCTATGTAGATACCATCCATCTCTGTCGTGGACATACCCAGCAATGGTATTTCATGGAGAAGGCGTGGATCCACCATTGTTGTCCAACCAAACACCTGGAGTACCTCCTCGAAACGTTGACCTGGAAAATGTACGTAGAATTTCTGCGCGATGATGTGACCGGCGGTTGGAAGATCCCAAACAGGAGGGCAAACAAACGTCTGTGACGAAAGCAGCATTAACATGAGCAACAAAGTTCTTACCAAGTTCTGACAAAGCAATACTAGACTTCAACGACAAAACTGAACAAACCCAGGTCATCCACCCCAAAAAATCACTTCCTGAAGATCCGTCGCATGGACTTTGGCTGAAGGCAACGTCTTGGCGATCAGCAAGGAGGGCTGGCCCGGACCGGTGCCCAGGTCCAAAACATCTTTGGCATGCACCTGGACCACCTTCTCCTTGGTTCGGGGATCTGAAAAGGGCGGGACATAGGGCAAAATCAGGCGAAAGGGAGCCTGCGAGACGAGTAGTTTGATGAGGGAATGGGCTGAAATTACATCAGTGTATATCTCAAGAAGACTTCGTTGGTTGTTTCAGCCAATTAGGCCTGCTTCATCCAAACCGACAACAAACCACAAAACCACATCCAGAGCTTGCACATGATCTCCCTCAGTTCGATCTCTGATCCAATGATTCAACGACTCTGGACTCATTGTTCACATTATGAGTCACACCTCATTGAGTCTTTGACCTCACACAGGTCCCGGAATCGGCGCACACACTGGAGCGATTGTCGGGTGCTGCTTATGTGTCGTTGAGTTTACTGTCTTTTGCTGCTGTCAATGCTGAACATGTGACAATTCTGACCATGCGGCACGTGAAGGTGGTTTGGGTTCTGCATTGGCCCATCCCGTAGCAGCACCCAGGATCATATAAACCATTGTAAACTCCTTACTTGAGGGGTTCGACCTAGGCGTTTGAGACCCTTTTGAGGTCATGAGAGACATTTCAACAAAGTGTTGGCACCTTTTTGTCAATTGCAGCAAAAGTCCCGTTTGCAAACACGAGAGGCAGGAAAACAAGTCAAAACAAACTGCATGCATAGGGCGGGCATTGGGTAAATGCTTAAAATTGGTAGAGTGTCCATTTTGTGAAGCTGATCTTTGCACAAAGCCTCACAGTGTCCATGTGGCAAGGCGGCAAGACCCATTTTGTAGAGGAAGTTGCTGCAGCCAAGTGTCCGTCATCTTCTCAAACATGGGCCAGTTCACCATGAACAGTTTCTCGTAGATGTTAGCATCAATCGCCCCATGTATTCTCGCAAAGCGCGTTGCCACCAAGCACAGCAAAAGCTGCCAGGTCGACATGGGACCGAACATCGACTGCTTTAGGCTTGCATATACAAGTTCATGGTTAAAAAAAATGTGTTCATTGATGTGTCGGTAGATAGTAATGAAGACGCGCTTGAGGTTGAACCAAGTCCTGCATCATCTGAGCCTCTGCCAACATGAACACCCACCCGAGCAACCTCTTCATGAAAAGACTACAGCAACAAAGTATGCCCACTATATAATCTTCTTGTGAAAGGAGTCCAACTTTCCACCCACCCGCGCACACACACACACACGGACTTGCGCTGTCTGAGCGCACCCTTCCATCTCCCTTGAGGTTTGGCCTGGGATGAATGGGGACTTAGAATTCTCATATCGCACGTAAGAAACACCGGACAAATCCAACGATTCCTCCTTTTCCAAGCAAGCACACCTGCAAAGGAATTGGCGAGGTATGCGCGGCACCCAGCGGAATTGGCGAAGTATGCAGCGCAGGCGTGTGCGCTGATGGAGCTGGTGTGGCCTCGCCGGATGTCTTTCATGCGGGAGAAATCGCGATTAGTAGCCACAAATGCAGCAAGAAACTCATGCCGGAGACCTGCCAGTGTCTTTACAAACATTTCCTCTCCAATGTGCTTTAAACTCTGGCACATCCCATTGACCTCACTGTCGGGTGATTACATTATACTGTATATATATATATACAGTATAGGCCAATGCAAGAACTACCAGCCATCAGGTAGTCCCCATATGCCCCACCCTCCCGGATCATGTGGCGGTTCAAACCCTGGATGTGTAGATGAATCCATAGGGAAGGAACCCGGAAGGAGCTACCTTATGCTTTTTGGGCCTTTGGGTACTGGTTGGTTTCTTTTGTACCGCTCAAAACTCTGGTGAAATGGTCAACACGTAACATACCGGCAACATATCCTTGAAAGCACAGCTGAACACATCACTGATGCCCTAGCCCTAGCCCCCCCCCAAAAATGCTATTTTGAGACATGTCTGGTGCCTCAATGTTTTGTAATCCATGGAGCCAAAAGCCTGCGGCTTCTAACCCAACAATCGCAACAAATCTCATCCCTCATCCAAGCTGGAAAAAGCCGCGGCCCCATGGTCGTTGTGAAGAACCTGTTCGGAACGTCCCACCAGATTCGTCTTTTGGCCACGTCCGCAGTAATCTCCATGTCGATCAAATCCTGATCGGTCCCTGGCCCATCCAGTGTTCCCCCACCTCACAACCTGGAAACTTGAAGACCATATCGCAAGCCGACATAGCCCATGAGCGAGACATGGCCTCATCTTCGATGCCGGCATTCAGGTCCATGGGCATCACATCCTCCTCACCGTCGCCTGCAGAACATCCCGTTTTCGGGTCAACGTGATGAAGTTGAACATCGTATCCATACGAAGATCCTGATGCCATATCAAATAATATTAAATTGATACAGTATTGGTATCAATCCTTGCACCCTGTTCCTGAAGATACCCAGAAATAAATAGAAATAGGCCTTCCAGCAGGGTAATTAATGTAGTGTCGATCCAATGTTCCAACATGTCCCAACACCCATTTGTTGAACATGATCTTTATCGAACCAACTTCATTGTTGCAGTGCCCATCAACCTAAAACCATTGAAAACCACTGCCACCCCAGCGACCCCGCCCTCCACAAGACTTGGCTCAGTGTTTTGGGCGGTCATGGCGCGCGTGTGCCATGGCGGAGATGCGGAGAGCATCGTTCGCCCCAAAGCAGGACTAGGAACACCGACATAAGTCATCTGCGTGATGCCCAGTACAGCATGGATACCTACCCCCAAAAAGATGGGACCAAAACAAATCTGCTGGGTCCAAGTCCTCTTGTACCCAATGTATCTCAGTCATCTTGGGTCCCTGGGGCGCGAGAAGATTCGTCATTGGATTCTCGAGCGAACTGGAATTTGCTCGGTCGAAAAGAGGGACGCTGATTCGCGACGCTGATTCGGGGCATGACGGGACTGAAACATGTTCAAACCGTAGCATCATGTCTGGCTGTGAGCAACGCTGTAGACCTCAATGAGAAAAACACTGATGATTTGGAGATCTTATATACTGCATATATATATTATATTTAAATAAGTATATTAGTTTGCTGCTAAACATATATATATATATACTGTATCTTCATATATATTCCTTTACTTTACCCCTGCACCTTTGTTGGGTGCGTCACATGATCCACAAACTTTGCTCCCCTCTGCTCTCCGCTGTGGAGACCACAGCTCACTCCAGCGTGTCCAAACCCAAGACCTTTGCCTGGATCGGCAAGGATATCTGACGCAGAAAGCTTGCTGAACTATTCATAACAAGTCTAACATCCGACATGTTTCATGTTAGATATGAATCATACAACAGTCAAAGTAGTCAATCATATTGCTTGGATATCACAACATCTCTATCAGCTCTAACATTAGTGTTCCATTGTGGGCAATTATCCAGAACCTGGGGCTCTAATGAACTATACTATACTCACTATTTCTCCCTAGAACATCTCAGAAACAAAACATGCCAAAGGAACTCTGGAGCCCTGTCACTTCTCAGTATATAACCTCATCTCCCTGATATGGACATCAACGAATGGATTTCACACCACCCCAACAGGTCTGACAGGCTGTTTCACTCGCTGGGTTGTTGAGACGTTGAGGCACATGTCATCCACCTGCACGGACCTGCATGGATTGATTCGTTGCTGAACTGTACTGTTGGATCTTATTCCCCGCGGAGCGTACGTAGGAGATGTAAACCCCTGCCTAGTACACAAAGAGGGAGTAAGTGAATGGAGAGGTGGATCTCTGCATAGAGAGAGAGAGAGAGAGATCCTTCCATTCGGAGCTAAGTCCCTTGAACACCATGAGTGTTAAGGTCAAACCAGCTTCCGGGGAGCAACTGAGTTAAGCCACAAGAGTTCTCTAATCTGGAGACGTGTCCAGGGATATAAGTTCTTAATGCCTTGCTAGGCGTGTCCATGCTTTCAAGATGTGCGGACTTGAGTGGATCCGTGACTGCACGAACAAAACAGGTTGTCCAAGTGTTGTTCCTGCAAAAATGTAAGCTTGTCAACAACTTGATGAAATAGTGGATCGAGTGGCTTTGAGTTGCGCATGATAGTGAACTCAGTCAGGTATAGTCAATTTGGGGATCGTGCATCTTTGAGAAGTCTAAAGCCTCAAGCCATTGCAAAACATCTTTTTTTGAAAAAGTTTTGCGACACGAAACACACGAATGTCAGTGCAACAGCTTCCCAACATACCTGTTAGCAAAGAACATCAAAGAACCATGTGTCATTACCAACACTCATGACTGTTGTTGAAAGCTCAAGATCCAGTCCCCCCCAATCAGCGTCTCTGCGGAGCACCGTGATTACTTACAGTTACCATCCATTGCGGGGCTTGCTGGCTCCGCATGTAACTACCGTGCTAAAAATCAAAAACATGTTGAATTTAATCATCGTCTGATTTCACAATGCCTGCCTGGGCTGGAGTTGTGTTGCTCTCCTGGCGCACAGTTCTTGGATGCTCTTGGAAATGATCTTCAATGTGTGCAAGTCGGGGTTGAGTCACCCGGGTTTGCAAAAAGTCACCCGGCCGCTGGAAGCGCAGCATTAGTCAAAAGTCACCCGGCCTGCGAAAAGTCACCCGTTTTATGTTACAACACCAGGGAACGGAGACGCTCTACGGAAGTATGCTTGCCAAAACTGCTGTACATCAAGAATTCATTGCCCCTGCACACAAAACAACTAGATGTCTGTCGAAGTTTGCAGCGTTTGGGGGACCGAAACCCAATCAGAACGCAACGGTAGGACTATCATGAAGATTAGCATGAAAACATAGATGCAGCATGCTGACACTACACGAATCTTTTCTACTTGGCCGTCTCAAATAGATTTGAACGAGTCGGCGAATCCAACACTCGGCGGTCTGGCTAGATTGATTTAAACAAATCAAATGAACTTTGCAAAAACATTATTTTGTCGGAGGCATGGCTACACTGGCGCGAGTGCCGCGCGAGTCTTTTCAAACCTGACGTGAGTGCCGCGTGCGAGGTATCCACCTACCCACGTCGATTATCTTCAAATCATTTGTTGTTCATCTTCCCTCTAACCTGCATGGAAACGAAGCATCCAAACAATGGTGCTAAACTGATACTCCAAAGCTTATCTCCTATGTATATTGCCATCTTGCACCAAAACCGCATGGAAACGAAGCATCCAAACAATGGTGTTAAACTGATACTCCAAAGCTTATCTTCTATTTATATTGCCATCTTGCATCAAAACCGCATGGAAACGCAGCATCCAAACAATGTTGTTGACCTGATACTCTTGCAGTTATATTGCCATCGTGCATCAAACCCGAATGGAAACGCAGCATCCAGTGGTTTTCGAATCTCAAGGTGCCCAAAGAAATGTAAATGAAATGGAAACGGGCAAAACTCTTGCCCCACTGCTGAGTACTGTGACCTTGTAATCTCAGAAGCATTCTTTTCCACGTGGCATAGAAACAAGATGAAACAAGCAAGTAAGTAGGTTCAGGGTTTGTCTGAGAACAAAACAATATTCGCATCACGATCATCATGCCGCGCATTAGCCTCACGTGTGGAAGTTCTGGTGGAAACTTTACAGCTTTGTCCCCCGCTCCCTGCTTCCCTTCCAAAGATCTTCAGAGCCCTCTCCTGCTTATTCAGCGTCTCAAGAGCTTCCTTTTTGGACGACAAGAAGTACAAGGACCCTTTCTTCAAGTAGACCTGGCATGCCCAGGTCTAAGACCAAAGGACTCTCATTAGGGACAGGCGCAACATGTTGGCAAGCACGTTCGTCAAAGGGTCTTCGCCGTCTCAAAACTCGAACCTCACCAGCGATTCACAGGGTGGGTTGCCCAAAAAGGCCAACCTGATTGGCATCTGAGTCGTTTGAGTCTTGTCAAGGGTATATGAAAATGTCAAAAGAACCTAAATACCATTGACAATTGTGCCCGGAATTTAAAGTTACATACAGTAGAAC